GTCGAGCAGCATAGTAGCAATGTGGAACTTCCACATGAGAAATACGTGGTGCAAGTTTCACATAGAATTCAGCTTCAATCGATGCTGCAATACCATTCCAAATACCAGTCGATAGTTTCAATACCATATCGTTCGGTAGACTTATGTCGGTGACAACTGGTAAATACTGAATGTTGTATAAGTGATAAAGAGGACCACCCCATCCTCGACCTATTCCGATTCGTTTCGACATGAAGGAAGTTACTTTTATTGATCTAGTTGATAATGAACAAAGCATTTGAGATAGAATTTCTGATGTCAACTCAGTGATGTCACGTGGACATACGGTAAGAGACGATACAATTAACGACGATACGTTTGCCTGTGCACCCCAAAGATGATGTTGTAAAATATATGAAGTAATACTGTCGAGTTGAGTGAATGATTGAAGTTGCTCATATGTTACTGAAGAACTTTGTGCACATGTTCGAATCGCAGTAGACGACAAATTAAGATTTTTTGCTTGAATCAAATGAAACCTGTAAAATATGGTAATGATTAGATAGAATTGCTTTAAAAAAAAATCATGTATACCTCTCTGGAAAGGAAGATAATCGTCGCATTTCTTCCCAACGTTTTTGATAACAATTTTGAACTATAGTGGAAGCATTGTTTGAAGTGGTTACAGCTTCATTCAATCCACGATTGAGTATATATACTGAATGACAGCCTAGTTGAAGGAATTTGTCGGACAATGAATAACGAAGAGCGTCTTCTCCTTTTAACCAGAAAATATCGATTCGCTCTGCATCATGAAAAAGTTGTGAGCGAACACGAGAAATAAATGTTTTCAATATAACGTATAACGACGTTTGATGTGACTGGAAAGTTTCAAATAAATCGATCATGATCCAATCGAAATTCTTAATTGCAAGTTGAATCATGGCGAGACGATGTCCAGTACCAATGCGTTCTTCTGGATCTAGTTTTCTTGCTGCATAACTAGAATGTGATGGAGAAATGTATGCACCAATGAATTCATGTGTTCCAAGATTGTCAATATACTGTTTTGCTTCTTGTAGAACATTGAGATGACCTGCATGAAATGGAGCAAAGGAGCCATTATAAAAGCAAATGGCTGGAATAAAATTTGTTTTTGATATTTTTAATCCATGTCGAGATAGTTGAAAAATATCTTTGGATTCCAACAGACTTTCAACGCATGATGATGATAGCGAAGTTTCTGATGTTGCATTAAAAGTCATTGAGAATTGAATGACCAAGTTTCTATGATTGTATTTCAAATGTCTTGTGCAATAACAGAGAAGAGTGCTTTTTAGATACTTAGTGACTCATATGATGTTGAATCATTATATATACTTGCTGTTGTAGTTTTATTATGATGCATGAAATGAAGAACAACATCGTAACTGCTTTACTTTCTTCGTTCCTTTGACTTTTTTTTTTCATCGACTGTCTCTCATATGTTTTTTCTGCAATGACTATGTTTGAACGGTTTTTAGCTATTTTTTAAACATATTATAAAATATAATATGTTGAAACAACATCTGTATTCAGTTACTTAAATGATTGCGAAATAATGCCTTAAAAAAGTGTCTGAAGTTCATGAAAATGACATTATATCTAGATTTAAATAAGTTTTTGTCACTTAATGATATTTGTGAAACTTTCTTTTGTAGTTTTGTTCTCGTCCTATTTATTGAAGAACGTATGCATCACACACATTTGGATCTGTAGATTTCAAGTTTATTACGAAATTGATGTGTATATTACATGTGACGAATCGCTCATGCTCTGTTCGCCTTTCTACGAATTGTCTTTCGTTGTTCACTGTTACTATGAGGTTTCCATGAAGTCAGTTGCTAACTTGAATGAAACAAAATATGCATACAGCTCGAGCAAACACGATTATATGCCGACGTACAATTAGATATTGTAACAGATGCTAGTAAATCCATTTTATTCTTCTCTATTACTCGGATGACTACTTTTTAGTATCAAGAGAGTCGTAGCCTAAATTCAAATAAATTTTATACAGTTATTCAAAAATTGATGTGCAAAACATATTAAATCGAAGCAAACATTCGATCATATTTATCTTTTTTTTTCTTGATATGTTTTAACATGTAAGAGAAATATCTGAAGATGAGTAGATTCAAACCTCAATTCTTAATCTCACCATCGAAAACTGGTCTCTAGAGCTCATCTCTGTGCAAACACTTGGTCGATTGCATAGATTTTATTCAATCTATAATAGAAATCAAGATCTAGTAGACAAAATAAAGAATCTCGAATGCAATTCATTCGCTGGCAGTTTCTTGAAATTTTACTGGTTTAAAGATGAGCACTGAATATATCTTGGCATAGAAGTTTTGTGTAAAAAATATCCAAAACGAGTACGAGACACCTTATATGAATCTTTATGTACTCCATATCCTTCATACAGAATCGAAATGTCTGAAAAAAAATAAATAACTAGAAATGACTATTTTCGATGAAACGTCATAATGAACCATCAAATGGGTCTACTACACGTCGTCAATTCACGAAGAGTAAAATACGTCTTTGTTGGCTTCATCTGTTGATTGTCGTAAATTTTTGCAGAGCTCGATCGAATAATTTGAATGAAAACAGGAAATAACGATGATTATCGGTCAATATTTTTGTAAAAAAAACAAAACAATGAATCAGTTGAATATAGAATAGTCACATGATACCAAACAACAAGACAATTGGAATCAATATTAATGAAACGGTCGATCGATGGTGTGCCGGTCTTATGGATGTTGTTGAGGAGATCAAACTTGATGAAGTTGGATTAGTGAATTGACCATCGGTAATCGAGCTAATCCACGTTTGATAAGCGGCTATGCGAGTATAACTACCGGCATAATTCGGCCGAGCACAGCCAATGCCACTGCTCGTCACACCGACCAATATCCATTGGTTGCTAGAAGTGAAAGCCATCAGAGGACCACCAGAATCACCCTGACACGTGTCTAGAACAATGAAAAAAAAAACCATTCTATCTCTGATATATCAAACAGAATCAAGAATATATGCCTTTGTACGAAGCCATAGCACAAAATTGAACTGACCAATCATTGATCACAGAAGAACACATCAATGATCGGTGATCAACTGTTCGCATTGTTACTTGTTGAAGTATCGACGCTGTCAGTCCATTTTCGCTCAATCGACCCCAACCCACAGCTACTACCTACAAAGACTCGTATTCTAGTGCACATTTAGACAGATTTTACTACTTACTCTTGTTCCAGGTGGGGGCCATTCACTAGCTGATAAAGTTGAAAGATTAACTGATGGAAGACAAATGGTACTGACACTACGATCAGTTATATTCAATGGAGTTGACAGATAAAGAAGAGCAATGTCATTGACATAGGTGGATGGAGAATAGTGTGGATGAATTGTAATTGTTGCTACTGATAAAATCTGGCTACCATTCCTTTGCGCATTGGAGCCAGCGTAAATAGTAATTTGACTGACAGTGGCTCCCATAACACAATGAGCTGCTGTAAGAATCCACGAATCCGCAATAATCGATCCACCACATAATGAGTCTTTAATACTTAATAATACAGCCCAACCCCAAGTCTGCAAGCCAGCTGCTTCTCCTCCAATTATTCTAGTCAATATTGCTGATTTGGTCGAACAACCACAAGAAGTACTTGTATTACATGAGTATGTTGTCGGAAAAGTCGGTCCTATCATTACCAATCATATAATTATATTAAGAAACTTCACCTTGTATGCCTCTTGTCTTCATCAAACAGAAAAATGAAATGAGTGAAAAAAAAACAAGAAAAGGAACATTTGTTTTTGATGAACTTTCGCTCTTTCCTTTTCAATTAATATATCTTTTCTTTTGTGAACATAAATTAACAGAAGCAATCGGGTTGTGTCTTTGCAATATTTTTCAATTTAAATATTGCAAATCAAGAATAGCGTTTTTCAACCTGTCATGCATGAAGGCTTCGATTCGAATAATGTAAAAGCTGAATATAATTAGTTTTTCAATAAAGATGCATATAAAAATGATAGTCTATTGAGTATCTAAGATATGCTATTTACATTTAAGTTTCTTTTGAAAGTAAACTTATCTGATTTGATTTACTGAACCATTATGCTTTGTGCTTAAGATGCAAACAAATATTTCTTTTTCTGAATGGCTTCAGGTTCTCACAATGATCCCAGCACAAATAAAAAAATACATATGGTCAAAAAAGTATGAAGACAGCTATCTATTTTCATATCTTTCGCTTGAAATATAAAAAAGGAGCCATGTAAATTTTTTCTCATTATAAAAAGTTAGATTTAATTTTGTTTTGCATCCTTTATGAAAATCTGGATTTTTAATTGTAATTTCAAGTATTGTGGATCATTATGAAAGTTATTGTTCTAAGCATGAACTAAGAATTTTGCATCAAGCAGACCTTTAAAGAGTGTATAGAAAGATGCATATTGATGAAACACGACAATATATACTCATTGTTTTTAGTGCTTAAGCAAAAAAATATCAGAATACTATGTCGGTGTTCGGCTGTTTTTTTGACAATCTGTATGTTAGTTTGAAAACAAACTTTAATGTGACATTTCTAATCCAAAGGAAATTGAACAATCGTATACTTCCTTAAAGTATTATTTCTGTGCCGAAACAAACTAGTCAGTAATATAAAGATGAGTCTATTAGAAAGCACATACCTGCGGGAGATAAACTATTGCCACTAATACTGTATGAGCTCAGTTTCATTGCAAGTACTGTTGTAACAATGATAGTGACAACGATAATTACGGCAGCTATGGCACAAATAATCCAACGCTTTTCACCACAACATTCACAGCAACATTTGCACTGTAGCATCGATAATGTTGACTTAATTGAGAAGCCTTTTACCTGATGACGAAGCCCCGCTGATATGGAATATACTTGCATTTGATCCTGTTCTAACATGTAAGCTGGATTATACAATAGTTCCGGATATGGAAGAGACATTTTCAAATAGTATTGGTGATCGATGGTACGTCTTTCGCGCATAGTACCAATAGTAACGTTATTAACATCAAGCATTTCTTTTGTGAACGCGTTTGTTCGATTGTCAGTAATAGATTGCGTGGTTTCCTTACACTCGTGCATAGATCCTTTATTAACAGTGATATGAGCGTAGAGAGGATTGAGTATATTTGCACTAATACAATCATTATTAGAGTGTTGTACCATTAGATCACCGATTTGATCGAGCTAAAACTTGAACAAGTTATGGCGGTTATACTAACATGCTGAAAATTGAAAAAGTATGAGCGCATAGTTTGCTTTGAATTGTTGCAAATGGAATTTTGTTACCTGAAAAATCATGTCTACCTTCACCGCCATGCTTTTGAATAGCTCATGAAAGTAAAGTTAATTGAGACGTCAAGTTCACAAATTTATTGTGACGCCGTTTTTTTTCTTCTCTATGGTTTTTTTTCTTTCTATTGTACTGTCTGTACTTTGATGTTTACATACAAATATTCATAATGACACGCCAATGACAAGCTGAATCAAGCGATTTTTATTCGAATGGTAAATGGTGATTGCATCTCTTAAACAACTGAAGGAAGTCGGCATCATGTTGGGGATAAGAGTACTTTTGGGAGAGCAAAATATACTCATTCACATCCACACCCGAAGTCGATTGAGTATCAGATGACACGATATGATGCCTCGCAGCACCAACTGTACTCACTCTAATAGGCACCCCTATTAGTTAATTTTTTCTCACTTCGGATTGAAGTTATAAAATGTGTAGACTTCAACATCAGCATTTTTGAATTATGAAGCGTAAAGAGATATTGTCGTTCGATCTGACACAGAAAGTGCTGCTGGCGCATCGGCAATATCCATTATCCGCTGTTTATTTTCAACAGTTATTTATTATTTCAAGCGTCACACTCGTTACAACATTCAAATTGATTTTAGGTTTTTTTGGTATTGTTCGAAAAGGAATAAAGCACAGTGTCAAAAAAAAGAAGTTTCTAACATTGAATGGACTATATTATTCATTAAAATGCTTTTGGATTGATCTAATTTGTCCATTTGTACATCCAACCTTGCACTTGTTCGTACCAGGCAAGTGAATGAAGCGGATTGAGTATCCAATGATTTTCGGTTGGAAAATAAACTAACCGACTTTCAATGCCACGACGTTGCAAAGCATTAAAAGCACCTATTCCTTGTGTATTTGGCACACGATAATCATGAGCACCAAGAATAATTAGCATTGGCTGGGTCCAATTCGCAACATGCTTAAGTGGATTATAACGTTCATAAGCATCAGGATTCTCCCATGGAGTGTAGCCACCTACATCATGCTCACTGAACCATAGCTCTTCTGTGGAATAACCCATGGCTCTCATATCAAACATACCATTATGAGAAATGAGCGTTTTAAAACGACGACTCATTTCTGGCTGCCCAGCAATCCAATAGATCATGTATCCACCGTAGCTGGCACCCATTGCTACAGCTCGATTCGGATCAAT